GACCCTGGGATCATGACCTGAGCCGAAGGCAGCCGCTCAACTGACTGAGCCACCCAGGCGCCCCTATTATTCATTCTTTTAACAATTAAAGAGAGGTATCAAAATTCTGCCCAAATGCCCCCCCTCAAATTTGGAGAAACCGGAGGTTTCCATGCCTCCTGCCATCACCATCTTTTTTTCCAGTATCTTCTTCAGGCCTGTTGCCACCAGGGCCCTCTATGGCTTGTAACAGCCTCTTAACTGGTTTCAGTTTCTCACTCTCTGCCCCCTTCAATCCAGCTTGCATCCATAAAGGTCCCTCTCAACTTGCCCAGAATCAACCCAGATCTCTAGGCTTTATTCTCTTGAGTCTAATCTCCTCTGCCTGGTCTCAAGTTTCTCTAAGATTCAGCTCTTTAGGGTAGGGCTAGCTGTGGTATTGTGATGTACAATAAGAAATATATATTTGGGCTTTGTCCCAGTTAATCTCTCTCTCTCATTCTTCTCTCTTCCCTCTTCTTCTGTCTCAATCTGCCTCATTCTTATTAAAGGATGCAACAGTTTTTCATTTAATGGTCCTCCCCAGCCCATCAGGGCCCCTACTCAGGACTAGACTTTGAGCTTATGAGTAAGTTTTCCTCAGCCAGGTTTTGATTTCGGGTTTCTGTGTCTTTGATTGATCTTTTTCCCTTCCTCTCTTCCTTTGCTACTTGTTTTTTGTGTTAAATGTTTGAGAGGTTATTGTTACACTCCATCTGATTGCATTGCAAAGCCATAGAAAAGGAAATGAAGGGTTGGTGGCCACTTGGGTCATCAGGATGACCTCCTGGGCCCTGGCTCACCACATTCCAGCCTGGTTCTTGGCTCTGTAGGCTCAGAAATTTCATTTTGTTGGTAGGCTGGGGGTGGTGGGCTCTGAGGACTTAGATCCCACTGACCAGACTCTGAAGGGACAAATGCATAAACCCTAATAATGTTGTTATCATTAATAGGTAGTAGTAGCATTTAGTGAGTGTCAGTCCTAGTGCTAACTGCTTCATAAATATTAATACATGTTATCCACATAAAACCCTGACACGGAAGGTATTCTTTTCCTCCTAATGCTACTAATAAAGAAAACGAGGTCCAGAGATTAAGGAAGTTCTCCAAGGTGTCACTATTAGTAAATGGTGAAGTTAAGATCCTAACCTGAATAGTCTGGTTCTAGAAATCATGCTCTTAATTTCCAATGAGAAGTGTCACTGATTCACTCATTAGCTTCCTGCAGGCAAACCTATACAGGAAGCCTAACTACAGTCAGAAAGTTGGGGAGGGGGGCACCTGGGTGGCTCAGTTGGTTAAGCGACTGCTTTCGGCTCGGGTCATGATCCTGGAGTCCCTGGATCGAGTCCCGCATCGGGCTCCCTGCTCGGCAGGGAGCCTGCTTCTCCCTCTGACCCTCCCCCCTCTCATGTGCTCTCTCTCTCTCATTCTCTCTGTCTCAAAAAAAAAAAAAGAAAGAAATTTGGGGAGGAGCATGGAGGCAGGTGACCTCAGTGGCTGCCATTATTCGGTCGGGATGCTGTTTCACTCTAAAGGTTGCCTTATTGCAGGAACTGGATATGCTCCCTATGCCTTGGAGGGTATCTGGATGGACACAATGCCATGTTGTGTCTCACCACCCCCTGGCCCCGCCCCGCCCCGCCCCGCCCCTTGTTTCCAGACCTCTTCTATAATATAGTTGCTGTGGTAAGAAATTACTTCGCTGTAATCATGGCTTCCCACTCTATCACCGGACAAGCAATCCCAGAGGTCACTGAACACAAAGGCTCATGGGCCACATGAAGACAAATATATCAAATCACACAGTTAATTGAATCCATTGAACACATACAACAAGGAGGAAGGGGAAAGTGATGGGAGAGGTTAACACACTGAGACGAGGGTGCAGGGATGGCGGAAGCACGACACAGTGTCCAGCCTTGAATTACACAGTCTGTCGTGGCTCAATCTGCTGCATCCAGTCTTCCCTACCGGTGCTGCAATTAAAAGGATTACGGCTGAGCAGGAGTGAGGAGGCTTAGCAGATGGAAGGTGCCTGAAGCTAATTTATGCTCACTCGATCACTAGTAACCTGCAGAATAGCTATGGATTTCCCTCTGTGTGGCAGGCAGAGGACATATTGGGCCACCGTAGGTCTCACCAATGGATGGCTGATTTAAGACTTGAATACTGGGCACCTCATGTACCTCATGAATATTCAACATGGTTCTTGGCCCTTCCTAGATCTATGTTTACCACACATACTCTAAGTATGTAATTAAGTTAATTAAATTAAGTAATTTCTGTTAACATATCTCAGAAGCTTATTATCCTTTATTTTATTACCTATTATCTACGATTAGTTTCTTCTCTCTTATTTCTCTTACTTTCGGTAGAAGAATTGAATTTTTTTTTTTTTTTTTGAGAAGGAGAGTGTTGGCGGAAGGGGGAAAGCGAGAGTCTTATTTATTTGAGAGCGAGCACAAGCCTGGGGGAGAGGGGAGCAGAGGGAGAAGCAGACTCCCAGCTGGAGCAGGGAGCCCAACGCAGGACTCCATCCCAGGACCCTGGGATCACGACCTGGGTCAAAGGCAGATGCTTAATCATCTGAGCCACCCAGGCGCCCCAACAAGGATCACTATTAAAATCACTGTAAATAAGATGCATAATTAATAGGTAAAGGAGCATAGCTTAAAGAAACTTGAGAAGAAAAAAGAAACATATCCATTGGTTACAAAATTCAATACTATTAAAACACAAACCAATATTATTTAGGAAAACAAGCTGGCTACACTTTCATTCATACATCTTTTATGTTTGTCCCAAATGCTTTGAGGAAATAAGCTGTTTTACCTTTTCCTTCTGTAATATTTTGTACTACAGAAAACTTACTAGGATCATTCCTCTAGTGTTTTTTTCCGTTCAAAGCAAGCAAAATTTAACATTTGGGCAAACAAATTAGGGCAATATATATTCAGATTTAAATACTTTAGTTTCATTTAAAGAAAAACTGTTACATAGACCAGTGGTTCTCAAACTCGGTATCATAATCACCTGGACGGTTTGTTAAAACACAAATTGCTAGGTCTTACTCCCTAGAATTTCTCATTCAGCAAGTCTGGGGAGGATCCAAGATTTTGCGTCTCTAACAAGTTCCCAGGTGATCTGATGTTCCTAGATTAGTGACCACACTTTGAGAACCACTAGTTTAGACAAAGGACGTGTTCCCCACCCCCTTCCCATTATGCTTTGAGTTCTCTTCGAACTTTTGCTATCTCCTCCTCCAGAGTAGCTCAGTGAGGATCAGATATATTGAATCCTCATTGCCCTTAAAATTAACAAAAACGCGGTGATACTTGCCACAAGCCCCACCTCCATAGCCAAGATTTCCCATCTCCCAGCAGCCAATGACTTGTAGTGTTAGGACTCCCATGGTAATTACTGTCTAAATTTCTCATCCTACTGAACCGGAGCGACGTGTGCTATTCCGCCATTTATGTAAGTATAATATGTATTTTATGTATTTTTCCTCCCCATTCTGATAAGCTCTGAGAGGGCAAATCTCTCATTCTTTGGCATTCTGGCATCTCCATTGCTAAATGTTTTACACCTGCTTCACCTTCAAGTGTTTGTCGCTAATGAGAGCAGACAAGTGTGGAGACCAATAAAGAGCTAGCGGGCGCCTGGGTGGCTCAGTTGGTTGAGCGACTGCCTTTGGCTCAGGTCATGATCCTGGAGTCCCGGGATCGAGTCCCGCATTGGGCTCCCTGCTCAGCGAGGAGCCTGCTTCTCCCTCTGACCCTCCCCCCTCTCATGTACTCTCTCTCATTCTTGCTCTCTCAAATGAATAAATCTTAAAAAAAAAAATAAATAAAGAGCTAGCTTATCTGTGGGGCGCTGACATAGTATTTCTTCTCTTCACAGCCAAATTTATCTGTAAAATTATAAGCCTAGAATGCTGAAAAAAATTTGTACTTGCAAATACAATAGCTACAAGACTATAATTAGGTTTAAGGATAAGCAAAGTGGACCTACCACATTTTGATCCAAATCAGGATAATTTGAAGTGGTAGTGCAGAGAATGGCTTACTGTGTTCTTTACCACGCTAATCTAGAACAATTTGCTTTGTCAAAAATTAGCTTTCTGTGTTGATGGGTATATTCCTACAGGTATCTACAACAGGCCCTAACAGAAAAAGTCACATACCGGAATTAACTGTTTCCGGAAGACTTGCTTCCATGATGTTAAATTACATAGTTTGCTTGGCTTTTTATAGAAGCTGCATCTGTATCTTTGCAATGTTTCACTGAAATAGTTATCTCCTAAATTCTCCCCTAGATATAGCATTAAAAAAAAGTACTCCCCAGATAATATGCCAAGCTTGTTTTAAAACTGCACTAATGAGCTCATCTGTTCTAGTAACCTAGATTGCTCTTGATTTATGGATGGTTGATGACTGGACTTGTGCTCTCGCACCTTTTGGGTGAGAATACAGATTACAAAACACCGTCCAATATGAGGAGGGCCCTTACGCCATCTAGTCCCCACCCTCCTGCTGTAGAGGTACGAAGTGAAACCCAGTAGTTGAGTTGAGGCTTCAAACCATCCAACGGCCTAACGGGCATCTGGATTGCAGGCCAGTGGGCTCCCTTCCCACTTCGCCCAAGCAAATGTAGCGAACTAGAGATGAAGACGCGACCTTGCCCTTCGGCTTCGCGGATCTCTACTTTCCCAGCCCAGCAGGCACAAAGGACAGCGTACCCAGAAGCACACGTAAATACTTAGACCTGGAACCTTTAAGACTTAAACCAAAACGGAGCCCAACAAATAAAAGGCAGTTTGGTGAACGACTCGGGTTCAGGGGGGTTAGCGCTTCAGGGACCCTTACCTCCCACTGAGCCTGACCTGACCGGACTCCAGCCCAACTCCCAAAAGCAAGGGCCCCCAAGCCCTACCCGTGTCCAGCTCTTCTAAGACTAGATGGTTGGCCCTAAAAAGGGCCGTTAGCATAGATCTACGTGGAGCTAAAGCGGCAACTTAGCCTCCGAAGCCATACAAGGTGCGTCCCTGTCGCTTGAGGGCATACACCACGTCCATGGCGGTGACCGTCTTGCGCTTGGCGTGTTCAGTGTAGGTGACTGCGTCCCGAATGACGTTTTCTAGGAACACCTTTAGCACACCCCGAGTCTCCTCGTAAATGAGGCCGGAGATGCGCTTGACTCCTCCACGCCGGGCGAGGCGCCGGATTGCCGGCTTGGTGATGCCTTGGATGTTGTCCCTCAAGACCTTGCGGTGGCGCTTGGCACCGCCTTTGCCTAAGCCCTTGCCGCCCTTTCCTCTTCCCGATATAGCGACTGCAGCCCAGACACACGATCTCTGGAGCGGGCAGGGCGGCTTTCCCCTTAATATACAAGAGTGGCGGACCAGATTGAGAACAGAAAGCGCGCGGCGGGACGCCCGCCCTAAATTGTCCCCGCCCGCTCGGCATTGCGTCATCTCTTCCGTGCCGGGTCCCTAGCCCTGCTGCCTCGCTCCCCACGGCTCCCCCTCACGGGCTCTTGAAAAAAAACCGATCGGCCGTCGCCCCCGGGAGAGCACAGATCCCAAGGCCAGGCTTCCGGGGGCCGCAGCCGTTTTCGCCTTTGTCTCTCTCCGTTTGTGGGCTCGCCCAGGGCATGGCATGTAGGCTGGGCAAGGTCTTTCTGGTGGGAGAAGACGACAGGAAGAGCCAAGGGGGTCGAGAGCCGGGGAGAAGACGGCGCCGGCTCTAATCCCGACTGGAGGGGCACGGGCTTCCGAAGCACGGTTACAGAAAACTGCAACAAAGCACGTCCGAGGCTAGGCCGGCCTAGAAGGCCACGTCCAGGGCAGCCGCACCTGGGGTGTGTGCGGAGCGGGGCAGGGAGACGTCGCCGTAATTGTTGAGTCTAGTCTGTTCTGTTAATAGGGGGCATGGGATTTCACCTCACCCAGGAGAAATCGGGTCCTAGGAAAATTGGTTTTCTCTATTTGCAAGCCTTCTCGTGGAGGTCAGTGAATCCAACGCACTGTCATCCAAAGCTCTCCGCCGAAAGAAGCGATATATACAGAAAGAGGACAACGATGTTCTGTATCTCCGTTTCTACAGATCCTCTAAAATCGACCCCTGCTTTCAGCCAGAAATCAGTGACCAAAGTGTGTCCCCCCGGACGCCCCACGTGGAGCTAGCAAACTTTGCTGAATTGGGTTTCTCAATGGGAAATCTCCATTTTGAAAATCATTACCAGAAACTGCCCTATGAAGTTGTTTGGGGTCCTTTAGTGATAGCATGTTTGTTACTTTACCAGGGCCTTCTGTAAGGAGAATCTACCAGAAGATGTGGTTTCTGCATCAGAAAGAATTATCTCTTTTTCTGAGGGAGGTGTACTGTCTTAAATCTTACATGGCTTTTTCCTCTCCTGGCTCTATCTTCTATATGCTAATGAGTTCCAATACCGTATCTTTATCCAGACTTCTAGGTTCTAGACATATAGATACTCCTGATTGTTCTTTAGTCTTTTTAGACTCAAATATCTCAAAATGCTTAAACTTCAAAGCTCCAAGGTGTGACTCTAATGGGGGCTGAAGGAATTCATTCTCTTCCATCTTCCCCAGCCATAAACCTTGTTCTTTGCTCATTGAATGGAGCCACCATGCATCACTTGCCTAAACCAACATGCTGGGATTCACAATAGATGTTGATTACAAAAATTAAATGAAAGGAATGTTGAGAAAGAAGGTACCTTTAAAAAATAGCCTCTTTCTTTCTTTCTTTTCTTTCTTTCCTTTCTTTTTTTTTTCCCAGACAGGCTGCATATTAGTTGAATTGTGAGCATTCTGTTCTAAATTCCCCATAAACAAAAGATAGTAAGTGTCATACTAACATCTGTGGCCTGAGCTTAAAACAACAACAAGAACAACAAAAACCAAGTGATTTACCTTTCTCATGGAAAATTTTCTGAGCTGCTTTTAGGTAGAAAGGGGGAGGTCAGAGAGCACCTCCTATATTTGTTGTTTCTCAAGTAACGTCATCTCAAAATAATATACCAAAGTGGCATTTTGGGGGTGGTATGTTCTGAACCCCTGCAAACTGAAATCTGCTGTAGAGGAGGCAAAATTTTACCTCTACCCACTTTGAGTTTTTGGCTGGGCCTGATAATTAACACAAGACAGATTAACAGGAGAAAAGCATAGAAGTTTATTTACTCTGAGTTTTATTTGACATTGGAGCCCTCATAAGGAAATAAAACCCAAAGAAGCAGTTAGAGTTGACTGCTTATAGACTGAATTGGACAGAGTAATAAATCACGAAAATGTCACAAGACAGAAGGGCTTTGGCTAGGGCAGTTAATGGTGGAGAAATAACTAGGAAGATAAGGGTTAATTTAACAAAGGTTTCTTTGTGCAGATTTCTCTTGGCTTCAACTCCCCATCCTCAGTGAAAAGAATGTTATTTTCCTCCTGGTGTAAGGAAAACATCTTCCATATGGGGGTTTTGTCTCCTGTTTTTAGGAAAGAAACAGAGGTCAGAGCACACTTCTTGCACCTGCTGTTTTTCTTTTTCTTTTTTTTTTAAATATTTTTATTTATTTATTTGACAGAGAGATAGAACAGCTAGGCAGAGAGGCAGGCAGAGGGAGAGGGAGAGGAAGGCTCCCCGCCGAGCAGGGAGCCCGATGCGGGGCTCGATGCGGGGCTCGATGCGGGGCTCGATGCGGGGCTCGATCCCGGGACTCCAGGATCATGACCTGAGCTGAAGACAGTCGCTTAACCAACTGAGCCACCCAGGCGCCCGACTGTTGGATTCTATATGAATATACATTTGCTTCCCCAAAAGGTGTTACTTTGGCATGTGGATTATTTTAGGCCGATTATTTTTAAGAAACAGGAGACTCAAAGAAGTTTTTCTTTTTGCCTCCTTCCTAACAGTTTAAGAGAATTCAGACAGAGGATCTGCTCTAGGAAGGGAAAGATCACCATAGATAACTACCGTACAATATGACCTAGGTGTGGTAGACAGGGAGGAACCCAGCAAAGTCTGTTTGCTGAAATTCCTTTCTATACCCCGTTGTTTCTGAGTGGCCCAGCCAACATTTGTTTACCAAACGCTTACTCATTTTATCTTCTTGTAATGGTCTTCCTTCCCTTTGTAGTCCCAGGTCCCGATTGATCTCTTTCTTAGCTATGGATAGCATATAAACTTCAATTGCCTGACTGCCTGGGGGGCCTCATATTCTTATAGGATTTTCTCCTGTTAATTGGTCTCATGTCGATTTAATTCTTAGATCAGCCAAAAAAAAAAAAAAAAAAAAAAAGCTTGAGAGATAGAGCAAAGTTTTTCCTCCCCAACAACAGCTTGAGGATCTTTTTCTTACCTAAATGCATGCCATGGCCAAGAATGCATATATTAAAAAAGAACACCGCAAAGAAATGTGACGCCCATGTGGGCTGCTTTGGGCTGCCATCCAGACCCCTGTATGGTAGTTTCCTCTTCCGATGGCAAAGAGCTCAGTGGAGGAGTTTGAGAAAGATTGAGGAATTTGATTGCATGATGAGAAAATTCTTCAGTGCCTTAAAATGTGTCCCAAGCCTGATGAAACTGGAAATCCATTATAATTTCATTCCTTTGCTTTAGGATATTATGCAGGCCTTGTTACTTGTCTGGGACAAGCCATAATTTCTCTGAGACTCTGTTTCTTTATCTGTGAAATGAAGAAAGTAACATCTATTTCACAGAGTTGGGATTAAATGAGAGAGTGTATGTAGAATTTTTAAATACTGAGTTGGGGCTCTCTATGTTAGTATTACAAAACAACCACAGGAAGGGGTGACAGGTGTTCACATCAGTTATATCTTTGCAGGACATCATAAGTCTCCCTAGAGCAGAAGATTGTGCTGCCAATGGGGACTCTTGAAGATATAAAGATAAGTTTCTAGGTTGTTTGGTGTTCAGGAAATCCCCTCAAAATAACTTTTATTTTGCCTTCAGCAGGAAGATGATCATTCATATTGACACCATAAAGTAAGTTTTAAGCTTGTTGGGCCTGCTTGTGTTCACAGGTTTGAGTTTTTATGAGGTTTGGATGCAATGCTTTTTCCATAGAATGAGCATATGATTAAAAGTTTTATAACTATTCACATTTTTAAGCATTATTACCTTACATGACTTGTTTTATGACATGCAATTTTCTGAGCAATACTTCAAAGCATAGGAAATAACTAAAAAGCAGAGGATGTTCAATTTCCCTATAGAGAATAGAAAAAATGAAACTTTTAGATGAAACTACTTTATTGAAGAAAATATGTTAGCAATCAGTAATCAACGAATAACTTATTTGCTTTGAAACTTTATTATAGCTTTTAATCTGACTGATAAGCAAGTCACTATCTAGAAACTATTCACCATTGTAAAGGAGAAATTAACGTTTCTGGTGTTATATTCCTTGACTTAGAAGCGTTTCCTCTACAGGACCTAATTGGCCATTGATGGCCAAGGTGGAAAAGCTAAGGAAAGGCGGAAAGCTGTGCCCTGCAAGTTGGTGGTTTGGATAAACGTAAATTCAATTTTTGGTTCCTTCAACTACTACTGTAATGCAACTAACGCGCTTAGTTAGCACAGTGTCAGGCGCTAAATAAATGTTAGCTATGGGATTGGAGTTATAGTAACTCTCAACTGAAACCTAGTTCATGGGAAGGCATGCTTTTATTTCGAAGGGACCTGTTAAAATATAAATCCCAAGCTTGCGAAAACACTTTAAAAATTGCTCTGACAAAAATGACACCAATTTAAAGGAAAGACGGTCTAAAAAGAAAAACGTCCGTGATCGGTAAGATTACAGAAAAGTACGGAAAGGTGAATAAGGGGGGGGAAATTATCATAACAATCTACCCGAGTAAATAGGATTGAATTCTAGCCAATGAGATCACATTCTGGAGGTTCCTACCCCTCCTGGCCCAATCAAGACGAGGCTATGTCTATAAATAAGACTGCCTAGCACTCCTCGAGCCTGACCAGTAAGACATCATGGCTCGCACGAAGCAGACCGCCCGCAAGTCGACCGGTGGCAAGGCCCCGCGCAAGCAGCTGGCCACCAAGGCGGCCCGCAAGAGCGCGCCGGCCACGGGCGGCGTGAAGAAGCCGCACCGCTACCGGCCGGGCACCGTGGCCCTGCGCGAGATCCGGCGCTACCAGAAGTCCACCGAGCTGCTGATCCGCAAGCTGCCGTTCCAGCGGCTGGTGCGCGAGATCGCGCAGGACTTCAAGACCGACCTGCGCTTCCAGAGCTCGGCCGTGATGGCGCTGCAGGAGGCGAGCGAGGCCTACCTGGTGGGGCTGTTCGAGGACACGAACCTGTGCGCCATCCACGCCAAGCGCGTCACCATCATGCCCAAGGACATCCAGCTGGCCCGCCGCATCCGCGGGGAGCGGGCTTAAGGCCGAGTGTTTTTATGTAGACCATCTAAAGGCTCTTTTCAGAGCCATCCACGTTTTCACGGAGAGCAGCTGTACAGTCTCTCGCCGGGCGCGGGTCCACGGTCGTGCACCTGTGAACTGGAGAAGAGGGATCGGGGAGCTCGCACGTGTTGCGTGATGAGCGAATAGGCTCAACGTCTACCCTTTAGTCGGCTGGCGCGCTAGAGGGAACAGCTGAGACGGTTTATAGGTCGTTTATTGCCAAACCCGCTTTTTACATGCTAAGTTACTAAAAGTCTGGAGCGTCAACCTAGCTTCTGTGAGAAAAACTTTGCAAGAGGGAGGACCCTGCTCTGCCAGTTGTTTGCAACGTTACAAGCTGCTAGTACAAAACGTTGGCACGAACCCAGATACAGGAATTAAGTGGAAAGGCCGTCATGTCAGCTTGTGATAACGGCTGGGATGGGAATCTGGGTTTATCAACCAGATTTTACAGTTAAGAGAACTGAGCCGGATGTAAGGCCCTGTTTAAATACTGAAGCCTTTTCCTGGCTACTGTGTCTTCGGAGTTGTATAGGCAATGACTTAATTAATACTTTCCTCGTTGCATAATATAGGCGGCGCAAACAGGAATTTGAGGGAAACACCTGATTTTTTTTTTTTTTTTGAGATGTGGGTTTAAAACCAGAAGCAAAACACTTCCACAAAGCGTAGGGAAATGGTGCAAAAATAAGAGAAAGTTGTCTTTAGCTGTTCCTTCAGATCTCTTCGGTACACAAGTCTACAATTGAGAAAATGAAAACCATCCCCAAACGCCCCAAACAGGTGAAACTATACTTTTACAGAATTTATTGGTTAGCCTGAAATGGAACACTTTGATTGGCTAAAAGGACATTTACTCTGCTAGCCACTAAGGAAGTGCGAGCCGAAGCTATTATTTATGTGGGCTCCACCCCCTTATGACGACATTGTTGGAAATTAACCAATAAAAATGCAGTCCCTTGCGAGCCTTCATTTGCATACCGGCTCTATAAATAGCGGGTAACCAAGCCTTTTGGAAGTAGTCCGGATCGTTTCTGGTGTGTGGCGTTTCTTCTTGCAAAAATGCCTGATCCAGCAAAGTCGGCTCCTGCTCCCAAGAAGGGCTCCAAGAAGGCTGTTACGAAAGTGCAGAAGAAGGACGGTAAGAAGCGCAAGCGCAGCCGCAAGGAGAGCTACTCTGTTTATGTGTATAAAGTGTTGAAGCAGGTTCATCCGGACACCGGCATCTCGTCCAAGGCCATGGGCATCATGAACTCCTTCGTCAACGACATCTTCGAGCGCATCGCCGGCGAGGCCTCCCGCCTGGCGCATTACAACAAGCGCTCGACCATCACGTCCCGGGAGATCCAGACGGCCGTGCGCCTGCTGCTGCCCGGCGAGCTGGCCAAGCACGCCGTGTCCGAGGGCACCAAGGCGGTCACCAAGTACACCAGCTCGAAGTAAGGGCGCGCAAAGGACGCAATAGGACAGTTACTTTACCCCAACGGCTCTTTTCAGAGCCACTTTATTTGTCACACTAAGCGGCTGTAAACACTTGCTAGAAGATTGGGCTTTTGGTTAGGTAGGGTGGGCCTGTGCTCTCGGAAACATTTGGGTTTGGGGCTAAGTTAGGACCGCGATAAAGATTGCCCTGGCTGTTAAAATCTGGAACCTCCTACAGACCGGTGATGTCACCTAGTGGCACGATTCTTGGTAACAAAAAACTAGTCCTCAAAATGGTTTCTACCTAGTTCTACGGAGTCTGAGATGGAAGCTTAGATACAGGTAACTGAATAAGCAGGTTTGCTATACTTTAAAGTTTGTTTCGGTTTTGGTGGGTGTTGCTGTTATACTTCTCTACCCTTAAATGTCAACACAAGGTTTTTCTTAAATAAGCGAGCTGGAAGGTTTTCCTTAGTGTACAAATGGAAATCCCTCCGTTCCCCACTCCCACCACCTTAATGTTCTATTTGTAAACGTTTCTAGGTGTCTGTCACGAACGATGCGCAGTAAAGCCATATGGTTTAGTCTGTCGGCCTACGTGTAAGTCTCGATCTATCCTTAACTTCCTCCCTAGCCCAATCCTTCAACCAGGTAAAGATTTTTGCCTCCCACCCCTTGGGACGTTTAGTAATACCTGGAGACAAAGTTTTTTCTTGGAGAGGGATGCTAACTGGCATTTAGTGGATAAGGGCCACGGATGTTGATAAATATACCAAAATGCATAAGACAACCCCCAAGGCCAAAAGTTCATCTCTGTAACCTCAGTCCTTGCGGGCAGCAGGGAGACCCAGCGCCCAGACTTTCCTTCTGTGAGGATTTGGATTTAATTCTCATTTGGGTCCAAACCTTCCCTCCACCCCACCACCTAGTCAATGTTACTGCTCTTGGTGAAAAGCCGAGCAGAATGCAGATTTACTGTGATTACTTACGCGCCAAAGGAAAATTACCTTCTCCAGGGCAAGGAACTTGTCTTCTCTAACAGTTTCCTGGTTATAACCAGGAAATACCACCTTGGTGCTTGCTAAACATTCCCAGGTGCCGCTTCTGGAGCTTCTTGATAGGTGGTTTTTAGTGTTCTCAGGTGTATTAAAAAAATTTGGGGGCGCATGATGTGCAAATGGCCACAGCTAACCTACGGGATGAATTTCTGAAGACCCCTTAGTTCAAACTTGCATAACTCAAGACTAATCCCGACAGAGGCTGGTGAATGTTCCACCAAACCAAAGGTACCCTTAAGGTAAAAGAAAAAAAAAATCATAGTTTCCAGTTCACTTATCAAGCTTTGAAATTAAGCCGTTCTTGATAAATGTTAAGGAATTTGCTTGACAAGTTTGTGCTTAAAGTGAATTTTATTTATAATGTAAGAGTTCAAATTTACATCCAATTAAAGTTACATAAAATGGGCTGTCTGATTTTTTTCACTGGAAAATGAAGATTTTCTGAGTCATTTTCCCTGGCGAGAGGAATGACTCACTGAGAATTTTATTTTCCCAGTGAAAGAAAAGAAATCATTATGCAGCACATTTTATAGTTGGAAAAGTTAATAAGTGAAAAGGCCAGGGTGTCTGTCTTCTCCGTCAAGTTATCGGACCATCAGAGACACCATCTGGTCTCCTCCCCTAGGATCCTGAAGGCTCTCTTCTGCCTGAGGACTAGTGAGTGACCCTTATTTCTCATGGTCTTTGGAGGTTGTTAAAGCATTGTCAACTGGCTCACCTAATCGAAAGCTAGCATTAATTACTCATGACTGAAGGATTAAGCCCCAACACCTTATCCTGAAACTAAAGGCCTTCTGCCATCTCACCAAAACTTCCCTTCAATTGCTTGTTTTCCTCAGATCTCTAGCAGAGCCAAAATGCAGTACCCACTGTCTTATAATGCCTCTTAAGTTTCTCATCCTTTGTGCTTTTGTTAGGTGGCCCTTCTAAACCGTAGTACTTTCTGTTGCTCTTGCAACTACTCCAAGCCTGTCTACCTGCCCGTTCTAAGCCTTCCCATCCCATTCTAGGTCACAATAGTCTTTCTCCTTTTAACTCGTAAGGCTTTCTTTGTTCCTTGCACAATGAATCTGCAATTAACTGTAGCTTTGTGAACTGGTTAGTCTTTTTCCTTAATTTCTTTTTCATTGTTTTTACATGTTGTTTGTCTTCTAATGGAAGACAGGGTTTACTTTCTTAAAAAAAAATACTTCTTAAAAACTTCCACAAAGGCTGTTCTAGAGTCCATTATAAAATAGCATCTCAGGGGCACCTGGGTGGCTCAGTTGGTTAAGCGACTGACTCTTGGCTTCAGCTCAGGTCATGATCTCAGGATCGTGAGATCAAGCCCTGAGTTGGGCTCTGTGCTCAGCTGCTGAGTCTGCTTGAGATTCTCTCACTCTCCTCCCTCTTCCTCTGCCCCTCTCCCCTCTCATGCTCTCTCAAATAAAATCTAAAAAAAAAAAAAAAAAAAAAAAATAGCATCTTGGTGAAAGTTTGTTGACTGATTGCCCAGACCAGAGAATGCTAGAAAATTGGTCTGAAGGTGGTAAGTTCGTGTACTCCAATTAGCTTTTTTGTCCTCCACTTTTTCCTAAATTTTCCTGCTCCTTTAACCTGAAACACTCATTTATAATAATTACTGACCCACTTAAAACAACTGTTGGAGATTAAAAACTCCTAAGAGGGGCAGATAGAGTACTGCACTTGACTGCTTCCCTTCATGGGCCAAAATGATGGGATTCTACTGGAGCTTTTTCAGCCTAGTTTAGATGCTGCTTTTCCAGTGTTGCAAGCAAGGTTGAGGAGGGAGATGCATTCCAGAAGATGAAAAAAGTTTGTGGTATGAAGATAAGGAGCTTTAAATATCAGATCCAGTGAGCATTGCAAATGGGCTTGGTCTGGGTCAGGTCAAGTGTCATTAAGATTGGTTAGTCATTATTTCAAGGACTGGGGAATGGATTGTGGTATCTATATACACTTACAAACATGACAGTTTAATCTTGTCATAATTTTTAGACAAATGCCTCATTTTAAAACTGGGTGCATTTCCTAGAAGTGATCTAAGAGTCAAAACACTTAAATTCAGGGGTGCCTGGGTGGCTCAGTCGTTAAGCGTCTGCCTTCGGGTCAGGTCATGATCCCAGGGTCCTGGGATCGAGTCCCACTTCGGGCTCCCTGCGCCGCGGGAAGCCTGCTTCTCCCTCTCCCACTCCCCCTGCTTGTGTTTCCTCTCTCACTGTCTCTCTCTCTGTCAAATAAATAAATAAAAATCTTAAAAAAAAAAAAAAGCACTTAAATTCGGATGACTATAATTCAAGCACAGAACAACAGTTGGGAAGTGTTATATGATCTCTTTGAGGGGCATAAAGTAGGAGTTATGAAAGGATGTCAATTTGAGGCAGGAAAAAGACTATTTTGGAGAATTACTAGATAGTGATTTTCTCCTACATTTTGTAACTATAGCTGAGCCATCATATGATTTGGCAAAAATAGAAAACTTGATAAAAAAAATTCTAGATCCCATACTGCCAACATGAACAAGCTTTTGAAATATAAAAGCAGGGCATGTTTTCTTTTCATGTGTAATCAAATAAATATATCAAACATATAATATTAGCAAAACAATGAGATGGATAAAAAGATGTAAATACATCTAATAGAAGGGATTACACCAGTATAAAAATAATTACAATTCAAGGCGAAATGTGTTATTCCCAAAAGAGGGGGTAAGAAGGAAATGTTATGAGTTAAGGAGAATGATAGGTTGCATCTGGCTGGAGGGTTCAGGAACATTCCATGAGGAGAACTTGCATGTGCCAAGTCCTATATGGGTGATGGGGATATATAGGTGTCCTCCATGAGGTCCCTCTGGAATATTGTTTGTAACCAATATATCAAATGTCCTCTGGTAATTTTTTTTAAGTTTTCATTTTATCCAATTTTCTGTAACCTCTTTCAATTTTTCTGATTTTGGTAGATGAAATTCTCCATCATTCTATATTCTGTGACTAGAGATCATTAATTCTGCACCCCTCATCCAGGTTGTAACATTTTCCTTTGACTTTAATATATCTCTTTTAAAAATTGTCTTTTTTAATTAAGATTTTTTATTTATTTATTTGCCAGAGAGAGAGCACAAGCAGGGGGACCAGCAGACTCCCTGTTGAGCAGGGAGCCCGATGCGGGACTCAATCCCAGGACCCTGGGATCATGACCTGAGCCAAAGGCAGACACTTAACCAACTGAGCCACCCAGGCATCCCATTAAGTATTTTATTCTCACAGACGATTTTACGTCATTACATTGAAAAGCTCTGGCTGCCCCTCCTGCCTACACAACAATTCAAGTCACATTGTTCTTGGCTCACAGCATCTCAAACCTGCTGAAACTTTGTTCACCATAGTCCTAGCTTGAGAGAAATTTGATTTTCTTGTTCCCTGTGAGATTAATTTTCTCTGGGGAGGTGACTATGATAGGGTGAGTGAATAATAAGCCTTTTCTTAGTCACCTATGATTTATCAGAAAATATTGTTGACTCAAAATATGTCAAGTCTCCAACCACACCTCGACACTTCCACTGCTGCCCCCTGCCCTAAGCCACCGCCACATCCTCAGGATATTTGCAACGGCCTTTGCACTGGTCTCCTTGCTTCTGCCATCTACCCTCTCACTCTGCTTTCCACAAAATAGCTGGAGTAAACTTGAAACATGAGTCAGATCCTGTTACTCCCACACTCTTCTCCCCATTGGAACACCCCCCACCACCACCACCTGCACCAACGACGGCTTCAGAGTGAAGGCCACATCCTTATGATGGCGGGCGTACACCTCCTGTCTTCCCACTCTCCCTTTTGTTTGCTCCACTTCCTCACACTTGTCTCCCTGTTCTTCCAGAAAACGCCAAGGCCCTGCTATCTCAGGGCCTTTGTACTTGCCATTTCCTCTTCTGGAAAGGCTCTTCCCCAGATACTGACGTGACTGGCTTCCTCATGTCTTTTAGGTTTCTGCTCAAAGGGTACCTTACCATCTTGTCATTGAGGACTTCCTTGAGCAGCTTATATAAGATAACAAGCCCACTTCTACCTCCCCCAACTTCATGATACTTTTTATTCCCCTACCTTTCTTAATTTTCCTCCATGGACCATCTGATACTAATGTGTTTATTTATTTATTACTGAATCAGAACCTCCTACCAATAAAAACTATTCTTACCTGCTTACTGTAACTCAGTGCTTTCTGGGTGCAAGCCTTCTCAATTAGAGGCTAATTTACCAGCTTCTCTTGTATCTAGGTCTGTCCATAAGACAAAGTTCTGGGCCAATGAGATGTGACTGGAAGTGATATATATTATTTCAAGTTTGTGCCCTAAAAAGGAAAAGGTATGTACTTCCCTTGCCTTTTTTCTTTCCCTTTCCTCTGGCTCAGTTGTAGAAATGATGGCAGGAACCGTGGCAACCACTTCTGACCCAGAAACAGAAATCTTGTGATAAGGATGGCTGAAGTGCTCTCCTAGCCCTGAGACTATGACATGAGAGATAAACAGACTTGTATCTTCTTTAA